GGTTAGCCAGAACTGATAGGTTCAGGGTCTGTGCTTTATGTAGAGTGTTCTGTGTGAACCAAACTGTGTGTATGTATGATTGAGACTAAGCCACGTTACTGTATCTTATCCACTTGATTATTTTATTTTCCCTGTGTGTTGTTTAAATAAACCTTATTCCTTTATTTGTTTAAAAATCCATTCCTGGTCTGTGTGACTCCTTACAGGGAATGGTTGGTGGCAGCTTAGTGAAACTGTGGCATATCCCAGTAGGTCTGGGTTTGTCACAGTGAACTTTACAGAACTCTCTCCGCAGAGAGACGAAAGACGGATGTCACTGGGAAGACGGCTTCCTAGATTTTCATCTTTCTAGACAGACACCTCTAGTGCCTGTTAAGCTAGGTCATGTCAGATTTAGAGACACCAAATCAGTGCCACAGGGCTGAGATCAGAGCGATTACACTGAGAAAAGGGAAGCCGGGGACTTTGGTTTTGAAATGAGTGGGTTGATCGACAAAGACTTTTAAGTAAACGTCATCTTATTGTCAGGTAAAGCCAATGTTAATCCAGGAAGGCACATTTCAAAAGGCAGAGGCTGCAACGTAAAGCCAGACACCTTTAGTTTTTGAAGCCATTTTGATTCAAGTGACCGGTTCATTAAGGAATCCAATGTAAAAATACTGAGCCAGTTTCTCCTTCCAGAAAGTAGCAGAAGCACCCATTCCTAACAAATGCCGGTTCCTTACAATTATGTACCTGCTTCAAACTGGCATCTCTAATGAGGTTTGGGGAGTATCTGCTGATCTGTTGCTTTCAAGCATGCTAAATCAACTGCTAAACAGAAGCTACTGGATACAGATTATCCAGAGCTTCAGGGGGCTGCTAAGAGATTGGGTTTCCATCAGTTACCAGGACCAACGGGCCTTCCGCATAAAGACGGAAAGCTCTTTTTAGGAAGGTTAACTGTTTCTAAACTTAGAAACACCTTTTCCTTAGCAAGGTTTAATGTTTTCCCTTCCGTTGCATGAGATGGCAGATTTTAAAGAATCCCTACGCGTATAAGATGCTTCCCTGGAATAACACAGAAGATGATTCTATTTGCATGTTCCCCATTGTCATTTTCTCAAAGGCACTTCTCCGCAAAAGATCTAATAGATCTAGTTAAATGTTTTAATTTTATTGTTCATTTGTAGTTGGTTCATATATGTTTTATTTATTGTTGTAAACCACCCAGGATAGTACATACTGCTAATGGGGCTGGGGCTCGCTCGCTCTGTCTGTCTGTGTGTGTTTCTCTCTCCCTCTCTCTCTCAAACAAACAAACAAACAAACAAACAATCCCATTACCCAGTCCTTCCATGGCTCCTTTTCCGTGTCTCTCAGAGTTACCTTGCATCTCAACTCCAAAAAGTCAGTCACTGAACAAGTGGTAAAATTTTCCTATATGGCCATTTTCAGTAAATCCCATGTGACTGCTGAACTATCTATACATACTTAGGATTTACAGACTTGTATACTTTGGCCATCTCATGAGAAGAGAAGACTCCCTGGAAAAGACCCTGATGTTGGGAAAGTGTGAGGGCAAAAGGAGAAGGGGACGACAGAGGATGAGATGGTTGGACAGGGTCATCGAAGCAACCAACATGAATTTGACACAACTCCGGGAGGCAGTGGAAGACAGGAAGGCCTGGCATGCTCTGGTTCACGGGGTCGCGAAGAGTCGGACACGACTTTATGACTAAAAAACAACAAATACCTTCACTGCACTCTAGTGTGTTTTTCTTACATAGTTCATTAATCTATCAAATGTAAATAAAGATGATCATGTGAATAAAACCTACGAAGAATCTGTGGGATAAAAGATAAGCCACTGAATTGACTTTTTTTTAAAAAGGAAGCCTAAATGAACCCTCAACGAGACAGCACCTCCACTCACCGTACATCTCATCTTCCAGTCCATGAACAAAGGCTCCGCAAGCACCTGATTCAATCAGATTCACCGCTCCAGTGTCTATTTCTTCTTTGGGAGCGTCGTCCCCCCATTTTCTGCCACTAGAGAATTCCCCAGAGCTGTAGAGCTCTTTGGCCCGTTCATGGGCGGTCCGTTTTCGCTGCAGACATAACAGACATGCAGATTACTTGCCAGAGAAGAAACTGTATTTTATTTATACGACGTATATCATGCCCTGTATCACAAGATTTCAGGAGGGGGGAGTCAAAAAAGCAAATGATTTAAATACAATTGGATGGTCATATCCACAGAAACGGTACCTAGAAGTTCAGTTATCCCCTGAAAATATGAAAGAAAAAACCCAGAAATACGTGTTCCCAATGTATGTTACCGGATTAGGCCACTAGAAGGAATCAGAGATTATGCTATGTACAGAGTCTGCGTATTTGCGGTTTTCAGCATCTGTGGGTTGGAGCTTGGAACTTATTGTTGGATATCATGGTCTTCTTTAGTTTTGACCAGCAGTTCCCCAACGTTTTTAGCCCTGTGGACTGGCTGGAGAAGGTGGAGCACTTGTGCCCTGCACTTGTGCTCATGCGCGAAGGAGTGGGCGCGCTCGTGCACATGCGCAAAGGGCAGCACAGTGCTCATGTGGGCACACTCGTGCTCGCGTGCAGGCGCAACCGGGCTGTGCAGGGGAAGTGTATGTGGGGGAAAGGTCTCTCTCCATGGCCCAGTCCTGCTCAGGCCACGGACTGTTACCGGGCCCCGGATTGGGGGTTGAGGACCTCTGGTTTAGACCACACAGTTACTGTACTTAACATTCAAGCACTTTAAAAAACACATGAAACAAGTTAAACAATTGAAATCCACTGAAAACCATTAAAACTGGTCCTATTGTAATGCAGTCCACAACCCACTCAATCCAAGATACTTCTATTCCAAAGCACTTGGTGAACAGACAGACGCATTTCAAGAGAAGGGCATTCATTCCACAGCCAAGAAAGCCCTCTCCATCTCTCCAAATAGCCTACCATTCCCAAGGGCACAGGAGGCACTCCTAGTGGATGGGGCCCATGGGGTGCGTTTGAATGTAACAGAAGCATGCCAACCAAGTCCCTAGCAGAAACCAGAGCAACAGAGGCGTCCAAAAAGGTTTTCTAGCTTCCTTTCCGCACCACTCATTTGAAACAAGCTGCCAAAGAAGTGCAAAACCAGACTCAGACCACGGTATCTGCGGGGGACCGGTTCCAAGCCCTCCCCTGCGATTGGTGAAAAACGTGGATATAGTGAACATTACACACAGCATTGTCTGTGGCTAGGTCTGGTAAATACACCATATTTATGTGGGCTTTTGTTTTAATTTAATATTTTCAGGCAGCAGACAAGTGAATCTGAGGATGCTGATCTGGTGGATGGGGAGGTATCCTACGGTATTTTCTAACACATTTATTATGGACTGAAAAGGTAAAGGACAATCTTTAAGGGCAGACACTATCATCCACATAATTCTATTATCAAACTGGAACACCCTAAAGTGATTCTTCACAACATCAGAAAGTTGCTGCGGTTCATATTTTACTGGATTTAAACTCCTGTAAAACTAGTAGGTCCCAATGTGCTATAAGCACAAAAAGGATGTTCAACAAAGTAGACCAGGAAAAAACAAGCCTGTTGTGCAACTTTCGCCACATCAGGGTTTAAGATGCGCATGGACAAAATGTAAAAAAACCCACATACAGCAAGTGAATAAAATGAAATGAAAACGAAACACAGGTCTCTGTACCCTCAGGTCTGACATCAGCTTCTTATCTAGAGTCTGTTCCAAGAAGTGAGAACTAACTTGCAACATGGATCCCTGGAACAAAAGGGGAAAGAAGGAAATTAGTTATTCAGCCTTTCTGAACACAGAATGTGTTTCTTTTCTTTTTCTTTCATAAACAAAGAGCAGGAGCACGAAAGCACTTACCAACAGTTTAGCAGCTTGGACTCTAACCACCCAGGAGCCATCACTGACCATGTGACAAATCTTTCCAAAGGCATCATCAACCAGCCGGATCTCTTCGTTGGAGGAAGGAATCGGGACAATGCTGGGAGGGGGGGAGGGAGAAGGCAGATTTAAGACCCATTCCTATGCAAAAGCACTGTTACAGCAAGATTAATTCCTTCGAGATCGGCCGGGAAGTTAAAAAAATTCTACTTTGTCCACATTTGGTGAAAAAAATAATTAACAGGAATGCATCACAGCCCGGCCCAGTAGTTTGAATCCCAAAGTTTGGGATGAACCGTGACT